ATCCCCTTAAAACAGCTAAGGCTGATTGAATATTCTTTGGTATGGTTTAGAATAAATAACTTCTTTGTGATGAGTATTCATTAAAAAAATTAATTGTACATTTAATGAGAGTATATATAAAGATTAGTCTTTTAAAAATATAATATTGAATATATTACTCATGCCATTTATTATATCCCCATGACCTATTTTAAAACTAGAAGTTTGTGGGGTGCCTAGGTGGTTCAGTTGGTTGAGCATCCAACTTTGGCTCGGGTCATGATCTTGCAGTTTGTGAGTTCGAGTTCTGCACTGGGGTGTTGCTGTCAGCGTAGAGCCCACTTGGACCCTCTGTCCTCTCTCTGCCCCTCCTCCACTCATGCACTCAGTCTCAAAAATAAACATTAAAAAAAAAAAAAAAACCCTAGAAGTTTATACCTGATTCCCTTCACCTATTTTGCCCCTAGCCTCCCTCTCCTCTACCACCAATCCATTCTCTGTATACATGATTCTGGGTTTTGTTTTGTTCTGTTTGTTTTGTTTTTTTAGGTTCTACATATAAGTGAAATTATATGGTATTTGTCTATCTCTGTATGACTTATTTCACTTATCTCAAGGTCCATCTATACTATTACAAATGGCCATATTTCATTCTTTTTTTTTTTTACCTGAGTAGTATTCCAGTGTGTGTGTGTGTGTGTGTGTTTGTCTGTGTGTGTGTATGTGACATCTGTAAATATTAGTCTTAAACTAACCAATATCTTGAGGTATATATGATTTTGGAGTCTCTAACATGGAGATAGTAGTTGAATTTAATGAGATTGAATGATTTCTCCCAAATTGTATGTGTAAAATTAAGAAAGACAAAGACTTAAAACACTAAGGAGTATCAAGCCAAGTTTGTAAAAAAGGGATCTGACTTACTCAGAGGTAAGCTGGTAAATGTTTAATTATTGGCATTCCAGAACAGAAAAAAAAATGACTTTAATATTAGCATTTCCAATGTGTAAATTTTCCCATTATGATTTGATTTCAAGCTGTCAATTTGGGATTACTGAAGGAAGTTGAGGACATGGGAACATCTAGCTCCTGGGGTGGTATCGTGCTCTTTTCTTATCCCCAAGATTCCAGTTCTCTGTACTTTCAGTGGTGCTATAGAATTCTAGTGCCAAGTATGGCTGTCTAAATAAGCATAAACTATTGGTAATGATGCTCTTCATGTAATACCATGTTATAGATGGCAGTGTATTTAGTCATTTTCTATAATCTATTGAGAGAAACTGAGAACCATAGGGTAGGTTGTTGGGTGTTTTGTGGTCCTGGTTTTGCTATGAATTTGAATGTACATTTTAAAGTAAATTTTGATTGCTAGGTGCTTGGGGCGCCTGGGTGGCTCAGTTGGTTAAGCATTCGACGTCGGCTCAGGTCATGATCTCACGGTTCTTGAGTTCGAGCTGTGCTGACAGCCAGCTCAGAGCCTGGAGCCTGTTTCAGATTCTGTTATCTCCCTTTCTTCCTGACTCTGTTCATGCTGTCTCTCTCTCTCTCAGAAATAAATAAGAGAAAAACATTAAAACTTTTTTTTTTAAAAACTTAAATTGCTAGGTACTTTAATGTTTCCTTTTTTAATCTCATTCAGCTTGCTTATTCCTGGAATAAATTGTTTTGTGGTGTGTGTGTGTGTGTTGTGAGGAACACTTCTTCCAGCCACCTTCATCCTCAGCTCACATCAAGCAGAGAATTTAGGTTAAAAATCACTTCTATGGGGCGCCTGGGTGGCTTAGTCGGTTAAGCGTCCGACTTTCGCTTAGGTCATGATCTCGCGGTTCGTGGGTTCAAGCCCTGCGTCGGGCTCTGTGCTGACTGCCAGCTCAGAGCCTGGAGCCTATTTCAGTCTGTGACTCCCTCCCTCTCTGACCCTCCCCTGCTCACGCTGTGTCTCTCTCTCTCTCTCTCTCCTAGAAATAAATAAAACATTAAAAAACAAAATCACTTCTGTGATCTACGATCTCAAGTGTCAGTGCCATTAAAAGGACCAAAATAAGAGAAATTATTCTCGTCAAAATAAGAGAAAGTATAACATTTAAATAAACATACTTGTAATTATGAAGTAGTCTTAGAATTATATAGATGACAGGAGTTCCTGGCATAGTTAATTATTTTTTTCATTATTAAGGTAATAAGATCAATAGGGAGATAGGAGTTTGGTTAGTGTGCAGTACCACAGTGTCTTTTCTTGTCATCTTTTTTTTCCAGCTTTATTGAGATATAATTGACAGATAGTGTTGTATAAATAAATGTAAGGTGTTACCTCATATTGATTTGATAAACATGTACTTGTATTTTGCAATATGATTACCACCTTAGCAATAGCTCATCACATAATTCCATTTCTTTTCGTGATGAGAACATTTGAGATATAATCCTAGCAGTTTTCAATTATATGATATATATTGTTAACTATATTCACAATAGTGTGCTTAGAATGTGTTCTTTAGAATGTGTTCATCTTCTTACTGGAAATTTGTCCCCTTTGATCAACATCTCTCTATTTCTCCTACCCTCCAGTCTCTGGTAACCACCATTCCTTTCTTCATATCTATGACTTGAGGGTTTTTTTTGTTTTTGTTTTTTGTTTTTAAATAAGATTTCATATATGGGTGATGCCATGTGGTATTTGTCTGTCTTTGACTTATTTCACTTAGGATGATACCCTAAAGGTCCATCCATGTTCTCCTATCTTACACTGAGGATAATTTTACTGCTGTTGTCGACATGACTATGATAGTGACAGCCACAGGTGATTACAACAGCCTTGCTCTTGGTGCTTGGGGTGCATCTGTAATTGAGACGAACATGGTCACAGTCCAGGGAGCTGGAGTTAAGACACCACTTGTGAGGAGAAATGACCAACTTTCAGGCCTAGAGTTGCCCAGGGCTGGTATTTGTTAAGATCAGGGTTGGTTCTGCAAACTCTAAGACCTAAGTCATGTTTTTCACTACCATATAGCTCAGTTAGATTTGTTTTGTGAGTACACACTGGATGTTCAAACCCTTGCTAGCTGTCTAGCAATTGGGTGTTCTCAGTGTGACAAGGTGGGGTGAAGATGTGGATGGATTGGTATGTGGGGAAAATTGTTCTTGGGAAATTTGGAGGATGTCTAACTGATGGTTTATCTGCAGTGTCACTTCATGTGTGAACACCACCGCTGAGTTTAGTAGTTTCGTTTTTCTTATTAGTAGCCCTAGAGAAATGAAGACATTAAAATGCATTCTGTGAGCCTTTGGTGATTTTTATCTGCTCACAGAAATCTTAGTTTTGCTGCTTTCATTTATTTTATTACGGATAGAATCATTCAGTTATCAAAGAGTTATGAATTCCCCAGATTTTATTGTGTATGGAATTAAATTCACAATTCAATAACAGTTTATGGATAGAAGTTATTTTTAATTAAAATTATGATTTGTCTATGTGCACATGTTAAAATTCTCCATACCTACATTTCTGTACAAATCATAATTTTGTAGTCTTAATTTCTGCCTATTAAATTTGCTCAATAAAATATTTAATGATAAGTGAATTTTTTACTTGTACATGTTTTCATACTTTTTAGAGGAGTTAAAATTATTAGTCGTTTTTTTATTACCTTTAAAATACAACGAGTAAAACTCTTATAGCTTTGTCCCAAGTTCTTTTACTGTACACACACAAAAAAAGTGCTTGGTAGTTTAATATCCACAGCCCACCAATTTGTAATCAGCCTTTTAAAACTATTCAATCGCATTTATGTATCTTTTCATTTATGAAGCCTCAAGTCACGAAGTTTATATTTTTAAATGATAAATACTTAATAGTAATTTTCTTTGAAGAAAAATGTTTTAACCTTACCTTTAATCAGATTTCAAATATTCATTTAGCCACCATTATGTGGTTTGATGGGAGGATGGGAATATATTTTTTCTCATCTTACAGAAATTTAGTATTCTTCATTAAAAGTATGTGGGGGAAAAAGGCTATCTTGACAGAGTTTTTATATCAGGTCTTTAAAATTTCAACAGAATTTCAACATTATTTAGATAAAACAATTATGTTACAAAGACAACTTTTAACAGGATCAGGCCACCCACAGTGTGGACTAGGGAATATGGCATGCAAGCCACCCAGTGAGACTGAGGTAACTTTTTCATCTTTGCTTAAAGTATAGTCAGTAGACCAGATAATGTAGAAACTTTTTATGAGCAGCGATCAAATAGCCAAAAACAGTTACCGTTTTTCTCTCCCTTCTTTGTGGTTAATTAAAAATAATTCACAAATTGAAAAAGTTAAACTATTTTTTGTACATAGTTAATTTTTCTGTAGATAAGCAACTCTGTCATTATAGTGATTTGTATAGTTTGAAGACTTTTATATATGTTTTATATATACATAGTGTCCAGTTTGTGTATAGTTTGAATTAGCTGATTTAAGAAGCAAGTATTTATTAATGATATGTTAAAATTTGTCATTTAAATTGCTTATGTAATTTTTGTGCCTGCTGCATGAACAGAAGACAGTTTTACCAAGAAATAGAATTAGTTCTAGAATACTTATTTTTAACAACTTTGCTTAAAAATATTTTTCTTGTTTTATTACCATATAATGTGGATATTAAATCCAATCCAGAGAATTTATCTAGTGTAGTTAACATGTGCATGTGTGTGTTTTAACCTATTATCTGAACTAATGAAATAATCTAAGGACCCATAATTGATATAAAATTTGGAAGAGTAGCTAAAATAGATGTAGGATCACATTAGCAATTTTATTTGGGCCTGGCAAATATGGTTATTTTTAATTGGATACTGTTTTTAATATACAAAAGAACTTATTTGTGGGCAAAGTGGAAATGTCTTTTAGCAAACCATAAAAGATCTCCAATATAACTAACTTTAAAAAAAAACCTGTTGAGTTTTAATGTAAAGCTACATTAGCAACCTAACATTTTGTTTTATCTAAGCTTCTCTTGGTCTTTCTAAAATAGGAGCAAGTAATACTGCAGACACATTATTTCAAGAAGTATTAGGTCGAAAGGACAAGGCAGATTCCACTAGAAATGCACTCAATGTGCTTCAGCGATTTAAGTTTCTCTTCAACCTTCCTCTGAATATTGAAAGGAATATTCAAAAGGTAGAGTACATATTTATGTACCCATGGTTATGATGTCATAAATTTTAAAGTTATTGAGATAATTTTTTATCGTGACCAAATGTGTTCATGATACTTTACTGACAGTCTCCAAAATGTTTCTTTATTTTAAAGGGTGATTATGATGTGGTTATTAATGATTATGAAAAGGCCAAGTCACTCTTTGGGAAAACGGAGGTGCAGGTTTTCAAGAAATGTAAGATTTGTTTATTACTTTTGGATCTTCTACTTTACTTTTACAGGAAGAATGTAGAATACATTCTGCAGAGAAAGTTATTTGCATTTTAATTTTTGTTTATATGGTGTTCTTTTTAAAATGAAAAACAGTTACTTCAAAAATAACATGGCTTTTCTTACCAAGATGTAGTGAAGATGGACAACTGCGGCTATAGGATAAGTTAGTCTTATACATTCTGTACCTCTTCTTAACCATAAAGCTATTAAAAAAATCTTTTTTTACTGGAAAGAATCAATTATAGATATTTTGTAGAGATCAAAACTTATATTTTAATCTTCCCTCAGAAAAACCATTATGTTTATGAATTCTAACCTTATTTTAAAGTGAACTAATACAACTTTTGAAATTATCTCTAATACAAGAGTTACAAAAATTTTTTAAAAACCTAAAATGTCTTTTGATAATGCCTTATCAACTAGGAGAATTATCTTAGGGCTTTATTAAATTCTAAATGAAATCCATAAGGACTCAGAAAACTTAATTTCATTTTTTTATTGTGGTAAATTTACTTGCAATGAAATGCACAAATGTTACTTACATATTCAGTGAGTTTGACAAATGCACGTATCCCGTATAACCCATACCAGAAAGTTACCTTGCGCCTCTTTTTAGTCAACTCTTGTCCCCCAACGCAGTCACTTTTCTACTTGCCATAATTTGGTTTTAAGTCTCCATTTTGTAAATCTTATATGTTCTTTCCTTTTTAAATAGATTATGCTGAAGTAGAAACACGGATTGAAGCTTTAAGAGAATTACTTCTGGATAAATTGCTTGAGACACCATCAACTTTACATGACCAAAAACGTTATATAAGGTAAAACTTTTCCAAGAATTTTGACAAATCACATTTATCTGTATATTACTAGATGCATCATTTGGGGGAAATTAGGAGATTGATGAAATGGTGAAAGGGAAGATAAATAGAAATTTAGTGGTATCCAGTATCGGACACCAAAATTCTTTTGTATACTAACAAATTTGGGAGTATTCAGAGCAAGAAAATTCTGGTTGTTTGGGGCAAGAAAAAGTGGCCCCATTGTTTGGTCTTTCTTCCTCTTGCTCAACAAGGGTTTACCTAACCTAGCAGGGTAGTGTGGGTGTTGCACTCTGTGAGCACCCAGAGATCATAGGCAGGGGGCTCCCTGTATGCTTTAGAGCACAACACCATCACATTCTTGGTGGGAAGTTCTTCGTGCCACAAGAGTGGGCTCTGTCTCAATGGTAGAGAAAATTCTGAAAGGTTTTAGTATTGAAAAGAAAAAATAAATAAATTTTAAAAATTGCAATAATATGAAAAGTGATGGATACCACAAGGTACGATGAGGAAAAGGCCTTAGAAGGAAGCATAGCATAATGGTAACTGGCTATTCTCTTTGGGTGACTTACTTGTATTCTTTTTTCAGTTTCTTTTTCTGAGATGACATGATAACACAATCTACATCTCCGGGTAGTTGTAAAGATAATCTAAAAATACATTTAAGGATTTAATACAGCACCTGGAACATAAGTAGTCAATATATTTCACACATATATAATATTTATACCAGGATTTGGAGATAGAGCATATGTTATAATCTTTTTATATCTATGATTTTAAAATATTAACATTATTTTTTTTGAATGTGGCCTTTTTCTCAGAATAAGCTACTATCCAAACTTAATGCCCTCTCTTTAATTAGTGAAGTTTTTTGAGTATTCAGTACTTCTAAAATAATAGACTGAATCTATGGATACATTTGGCTGTTGTTACCATATGACCATTGAAAATTATTTCCAGGTATGAAAAGAAGGTCTGGCCTAAAAGCTGCTGTGTTTGCAGTGGTGGTGGGAACAGCAGTCTACACTTAGACTTGTGATCTTGTTGATTCAGGAGAATAGTAGCAACATGATCCATTGTCATTTTCAGCACATTTGTGTTACTAAAGAGGAAAGGGAAAGGAGGCTTTAGTAGGGGAGTAGAGAGTACTAACATTGATTATTGCCACTACCTGGAGTCTGTAGTACACCTGGGCTTCATGTTAGGTGTGCTATGTATATAATTTCTAATCCTCACAGCCACCATGCAGAGACATTTGTCTGATACCCATTGTATAGCTGAGGAACCTGAGCCTCAGACTTCATTCTTGCTCAGTGCACAAAGCAAGGAGTAGGATTCCTCTGTTTGTCTGCTTTCAAAGCTTATCTTTGCTTTTCTCTAAGCTGTGTTCATATAGGAAAGAAGGTGGGATTTTTCTGGCTTGTGGAAATCTAAAGCTAGAAATGAACTGTATATATGTTAGTCCTCCTGCTTTTTTTTTCTTTGTCTTTTGTTTTCTTTTTTTTTTTTTTTTTTCCCTTTACATGTAAAGAAAAGCTCTAGGAAGGTTAATCTTCTTGTCCAGGAATACACAGCTGGATAGCATCTTGTTGCCTGTGTTCCACCATGCTACTTAATTTTGCTTTGCATTTTATGTTTATGCTATGAAATTTGCCAATAGTAATATGTTACACCTTATTGAATGTACACAGCTTTCAAGAGTGAATTACCCTTTATATACATAACATGTAGTTCTTTAATCTACTGATTTTATTTTAAAGATGGCCTATTTAGGTGCTTTTTTCCTGTCATATAAAAGGGGCAAAGAACAAGAATGTCAACAAAAATGTCAATTAGTTTACTTATTTTGTAGTCATTATTTTTAGTGCTTTGAGAAGACACTGAGCAATTAATTCTGTTATCCTTCTTAAATTAAGGTTTTAGTTAATAAACAGGGAAAATATCATCATAACCAGGTCAAGTATCTATGGGACTTTAGCATCTATGATGATAGGTACTGTGAACATTAAGAGGGGATAAAGAGAGCTTTATCATCAGCAAAGCATATCTTTATTAGTTCTCTTCATACTCAGAAGTTTTGCATGGTATGATTGAAAATAAAATTACTACTGTATTTTATTTTTGTTCATTATTTTATATAATTAAAAACTTGATTAGTTTCACTCTTCTTATGTTGTCTTGATTCTAGTACCTTTAGTGAGAAGGAAAGTTATGTCATATATACTTCTTTCCATATGAATGTGATCCTATCCCTGGTAATTGTTAAAAATCATGTTAGAATATGGCTAAAAAGTTTAGTTCTTAAATTATAAAATACTGAGGCTGTGCTTATAATTAGCATTCTTTACCCCTCTAAAAAATCTGTTAAGTGTTCTTTGAGAACACAGTTTTAGAAGAAATAGTAGTTAACATGTGGCATGTTTTAAACAAAGATCTTTGAAATGAAATACAGTTGACTGTTGAACAGTGTGGGGGTTGGGGCACCAACCATCTGCCCAGTCAAAAATCCACGTATAACTTGACTCCCCTGAAACTTAACTACTTACAGCCTAATGTTGACTGGAAGCCTTACCAATGACACATGAACAGCCGATTAACACATTTTGTGTTACATACTCTGTTCTTATGATAAAATAAGCCAGAGAAAAGAAAATGTTATTGAGAGAATCATAAAGAACATAAAGTACATTTATGGTACAGTACTTAAAGAAAACTGTATATAAGTGGACCTGCACAGTTCAAACCTGTGTTGTTCAAGGATTAGTTGTACTTATTGTTTACTACAAAAGAAAAGAAATTTATTCTAGCCATTTAAGCAAGGAAAAGCTTACCACACATTATACTTTTGAACTGCAACACTGTAGAATTTCTGAGAGAACACATTTATCTTTATATAACAGTTAATGTAATACCCATTAATAAGGTGCTGTAAAGGGTTATTATTAAATTTTGCAAGGACCTAGGCAACATACTACAGAAACTTACAATTTTAAAAGTTATTAAACAAAAGAGTATATTAATTTCTCTTGCTGTATTGAGCTCTTGTAATGGACCCTTTGTATTCCTATTAAGTAGTTTAAAAATTAAAAAGAAGCAGCTTTCCTAAAAGAGTATTCCTATATTTTACCACTGACACTATTTAGTGTCACTATTAGTGAGGATGAATGAAAGTGTTAGGAGAAAGTATTATAGAAGTATTTGGAAGCAAAACAAACCTACCTAAGGAGAATGCTAAGACAAATTATCCCCAACAAGAAAGAATAAGATCACATGATTTTTTAAAAGAAATGACATAGTGTACTCTTTGTCATATTTATATTCCAGATGAGAAAAGAGGAGAAAGCTTTGTGTGAGAGAATGAATCAGATTGGGTTGAAATATTTATGCCAGGCCAAATGTGTTTTGTTAGATTGTAGTTTTATTCTTGGCTGCTGTTAATTGATTTGTTCTTTCTCAACACAGGCATAGCCTATTTGCAGCCTGTAAATAGACGTTTAGGGAAAGGGAAAAGGGCCAGCTCTTGGGCTGACTTTGAAGCAGTTCTATACAGTGTGAGCCATACTGTTCAAAGGGCCCTTCTGGAGGATGAGCCTAGGCTCTGCTCAGAACCCAGGCTATCTACATTAGTTTGTGAAGGTCTGGGTAGAAAGTTCCTCAATGTGATGTCAGATGTCTCAACATTTTTATTTATTGCTTATTACAAAATGTTTCTCCTCTAGTCAGCTGCTAATTGAGATGTCTGTGAGTTAGGAAATACCTAGTACTGGAGGAACGTGGAAGAGAAGCCTCTGGTGTATCCCTCAGTGATTAGGATAGAGTCACTGCTTGTAACCATTCATTAAAATTTATCATTGAACAAAATTCTTTAACCTCAAGGCAACAGACAGCTATGGTTTAAGAATAATTTCAAGACAATAAATTCAGCTTTGGAGTTGCTTTAATTGGATTTAACTTATTGCAGTAGTACCCACCTTATCTGCAGTTTCAGTTGTGCGATTTCAGTTACCTGCAGTCAGCTATGGTCCAGAAGCAGATGATCCTCCTTCTGAAGCGTAGTCAGGTCAGTAGTAGCTTAGTGCTACATCTCAGTGCCTACATTATTCCCCACACTTCATTTCCTCACGTATGCATTTTATCATCTCACATCATCACAAGAAAGGTGACTACAGTAAAAAATTTAGAGAGAGAGCAACACCGCATTCACATAACTTTTATTACAGTATATTATAATTGTTTTATTTTTATCAGTTATTGTTAATCTCTTATTGTGCCTAATTTATAAATTAAACAGTCATATACACACACACACACACACATATATATATATATATGAAAAAACCGACTACATTTAGGGTGCAGTACTGTCCATGGTTTCAAGCATCCTGCTGAGGGTCTTGGATCATATTCCCCCTTTGGATAAAGGGTGACTACTGTATGTTTATGTATTTTGTGATGGCCGAGGGCCAAATCTTAAGTAATATTTGTCAGAAATTTTTCAAATGAAATGTATTTCAGTTGTCATTCTGTGTTTGGATGTTTTATTGTACAAAGATGTTAAATGTTTTAAGAATTGTTTAGAAACTAAGAAAAATGCCCACCTATACTACATTTTCTAAAGAAATATTTAGTAGAGTTCAACTTCAGAGGTATTTATTGTCACCAAATCTCTTGTAATAAAATATCCTATTAGGTTGTATAGAAAATGGTGTCACACTGCCATCTAGTGGCCATATTTCAGACCAGAAAGGAATAAAATAAAATAGAAATCAAAAGAATATTCACTAAGTGTCCTCTGCTGGCTCCCACTTGTGTTTTCTATAATGACTGAGAACTAAGTATGGAAACACTCTGTGAACTAAATATAAATATAAATTTAAGTTCTCACTGAGTTTTTAAGATTATTGCAAGTTGTATTTGTCTTCTTGGTTTTTTTTTATAAAGTCCTAAAAAATACAGTTTTATTGTTTATTTTTGCATGAAATGAAATTTGAATATATTTCATTTAGAACTAAATAAACAAGACTCTTTAAAGAGTTCCTGGGAGGCTCAGTTGGTTATGCGTCCAAGGCTCAGGTCATAATTTTTGGCTCATGGTTTGTGAGTTTGAGCCCTGCGTCAGGCTCTGTGAGGAGGGTGCAGATCCTGCTAGGATTCTCTCTTTCTCCCTCTCTCGCTGCCTCTCTCTCTCTTCAAATAAATAAACAAACAAACTAAAAAAATTAAGTGTTGAAGACTAATGTTAACAGGTGCTTTTACTAATTGATAAAATTTTGGTTTTTCTTATTTTCTTTAATGTTTGTTTATTTTTGAGAGAGAGCATGAGGTGGATAGGGGCACAAAGAGAGGGAGAGAGAGAATCCAAAGCCGACTCCATGACTCTGTAGAGCCAGATGTGGGGTGCAAACTGACAAAACTGCAATATCATGACCTGAGCTGAACTCAAATGCTTAACTGACTGAGCCACCTGGGCACCCCTACAAAATTTTAGGTTTTCTTGAGAAAAGGAATGATTTTTAAAAATGTTAGCTTTCTTTTTGTCCTTATTTGTGGCTGTACAGAGGAAGCCTACTTGGTTAATCTTGCCCTTGTTTTTTTCAGGTACCTGTCTGACCTTCATGCACCAGGTGATCCTGCTTGGCAGTGTATTGGTGCCCAACACAGGTGGATCCTTCAGCTCATGCACAGCTGCAAAGAGGGTTATATACAAGATTTGAAAGGCAAGTCTGCTTCTCTTCTAGTGCATGATGCCCTTCCTTATTGTCAGTTTAATATTTGGAAATGCTTAATGATTAAGGGAATGATTGATTAATTTTTTGGATTTTTTTACCTGTTTTTTTTGTATTGTTTTGTTTTGTTATTGCTCCTGGTTAGTATTATACCTGAGTAAATAACAAAACAGGAGGCAAGGGAGAAAACTCTTGATATGCCTATTTTTATGGTTGACACCCAGTGTTGACAAAGGTTTGCTTTAGGGAATAATTAAACTTTTATTAAGGGAAGGAACATGTTGTTGTAGAAATATTAATTTTTAATAATTGGTGGTAGTTCACTCACTATTCATCAAATATATGTTGAGTCCCACTATGTGCCAGGTACTATGCCAAGTACAGATGGTGTTAAACACTTAACTAACCAAAGATGAAATTGTTGACAAGTGATATAAAGAAATAATCATATTTTGAGGGAGGAGAATGGAGGGGATGGCACATTTAGGAAGGTGTCTCAGAGAAGGCTCCATGTTCTCTAAGAATTAGAAGAATGAGAAGTAGCCTACTGGGCTGACTCTATTCTGAAAAAGTAAAAATCCTTTATGAAGGCCTTGAGGTAACTTTTAAAGGAAGAAGTCACAGGTGCATTCAGATGCAGGTTTATCAACCTTTATTTGTATAATTCTATCATTCCACAGGTATTGAATGTATCAGTGCCTACTATGTGTTGGTCACTATTGGGTGCTAAGGATACAGTGGTCAGCATGGCAGACAGGGGCCTGGCTCACATGAGACTTATAAAATAGTGGGGGGATATGGACAGAGAAAGTAGACCGGACTAGGAGATTACAGTGTTACTTCCTAAGCCTGGGAAGTTCCTAGTGCCGTGGTAGTAGGACTTAGGAACAGCATTTAATTCATAGTTTTGAGGTCATAGTGACATTCCAAGATCTGAAGAAAATAACACTTATATTGAGATTTAAATGATATCTGTATGGACCAGTTGAAATAGAGGAAAGGAAAGGAAAGACCACTCCAGGAAGAGAAAACAGAATGAGCACAGGGCTTCAAGCAAGAGATAGCCAGTGGATTCTCTGTGGCTGGAGCTTAGTGCACAATCAAAATGGCAAGAGTGGGGGCCAGGGTTAGGAGGTGCCAGGTCTTGCATGGTCTTTGTTGCCACTTCAAGGGATTTGGAGTTGATCTAGAGGACATTGGGCTGACAATTACAGGTCCAAAGACGCATTGAGACCTAGTTTTTGGAAGACTCCTCTGGCTTCCATGTAGTGAATGGATGAGAGGGATCAAGAATGAACACTGAACCTGGTTAGGAGGCTGCTATATTGATTCAGGCATCTTGCCTTACATGGAGGAGGTGGATATGGAGAAAGAGACAGATTCAAGAGCTGTTCAGAAACAGGAATTGATAAGAGTTGGTGATTGAAGAATGAAGGGAAAAAGGGGTCAAGGGTGACTCCCAGATATCTGATTTCAGCAATTAGTTAGGACGATGACACCATTGAGTTAGGGAGCATTGAGGAAAAAACTTATTTTTTTCCCCTTTTGTTTGGGCAGAATGATTTGGAGTAGTCTGACATACAAGGGAAGATATCCAATAGGTAGTTTGGATTTATAGAGCAAGAGATATGGATGTGATCTGTGTGTAGATGGTCCCTGGGAGTTGATGCATTCACCCAAGAAGATGAAAATAGGAGAAAGTTTAGGGCAAAATTCTGGGACACAATATTTACAGGGCTGATAGAAGAGACAAAGAAGGAGTGGTCTGCTGGGGTAGGAGGAAAGCAGAGCGTATCATGTCATGACACCACAGAGAAGAGTGATCAGCAAGGATTTTAAGACAAAGAATAAGATGAACAGATGTCTTTTAGATTCAGTACTGAGGCTATTGTTGGTGACCTTGGTAAATGCAGTTTCAGTGGCATGCGATGCCAAACAGATTATATAAATATAAAATAAATATGGCATAGTGATACTTACAAGGCAAGGTTTCCAGAAGGAATAAGTGAAGTAACATAACAGTCCTGTAACAGAAGGAAGTATAATGGAGAGGTCACAGTTATTTGTTTATAGCTTCATTTTATCATGAATTACTTGGCTTGGTTTTGAGTACTTCCCAGCTGTGATTTTGTTCCTTTATAGATATTTAGGAAAACCCAAATATCTCTTTATTGATGCCACATGAAAATTTCTGTTAATGTCATTAATTACTTTAAAGGTTTAGCAGGTAAAAATGACCTCAAATAATATACATAGTCTGTAGTCTTTAGAGATATTTAAAGGGCCTTACACATTTGTTTATTGAGTGTACTTTATTAGCCAGGACTCACCCTTGAATGCCCATCAGAATTATCTGGATGTTTTTATAAAGACTGTCAATTCCTGGCCTCTACTTCATTCCTACTGATATTTTAGAATCTCTAAATCCAGGCATTAGTATTTTTTTTAAAGCTCTCAGATGATTCAGGAATAGGCTGGATTAATAACCGTGCATTACATGCTGTGTTAGGGACTGGAAGCACAGTGGTGAGCAAGGTGACATGGTCTCTGACCTCTTGGGGCTTATAGTCTAGTGGGAGAGACATATATTTTTAAAAGCCACATAGAATTGTGAAAAAACATCATAAAGTAGGGAGTATAGAATTCTACTTCAGTCTATTGAGGAGGAGGTTTTCTAAAGGAGATGATATTTCCATTGAGTTTAAATGATAAATAGCAGTTATCCAGTTAAAGAAGTGTAGAGTAGCCCAGATTCCTAGGAGGTGCTCAATATTGTCACCCTAATCCTCAGTCCACTAAATGGTTAACAAGTACAGTAATGATATTCACCAGATACAAAGAGGATATGTAGTCTAAGGATTTTCCTACTTAGTCTTATAAGAGACATCTGATTGTGTAATTTGGTTATGAAAATATTTTAATTTTTGGGATGTACGTAATTTATGAAGACAACATGTAGACTATTTGAAATTGGAAAAGTACCATGAAATTTCACATATCTGAACACCTAATAACACATATTGTTACATCCTTAACTGAAATATCTGATAACCAGTATTCTGTTGCCAAAGGTCTGAATCTTTCCTGAAGATAATGAGACACGCTTTTACCTGATGAATTCTTTCCCTGTCATCTTGATATTATGCATCACTATATGTATTTATCTAGAACTGGTTAAAATCAGTATATCTGAAAAAAAGTGATGATAGCTTATGTATAACTGGAGCCCTACCTTTGAAATTCACTGACCAAACTTGTGCAGAACTTGCTCATCACTTGTATTCGTGAAATAATGAAAAGAATGTATGTTAAATAGATCCATATGTTAGTGATGAGCTTTACCTAGAGTTATTTTCATAAGTTGGTCTTTTTGTTAGGAAGTAAAAACATAACAATTTACAGCTCTTTGAACTTACTCCATAGATTTTATAACTGTACAAGTTAAATTTGCTAAATATATTAGTCACATATTTATAGGTTATGTTTTAATTTTTCTCTGACATTTAAAAGAACATGCTTAATTGCCCCCTTTTAAAAAAAATTTCAGAGGTGCCTGGGTGGCTCAGTCAGTTAAGCATCCGATTTCGGCTCAGGTCATGATCTCATGGTTTATGGGTTTGAGCCCTGCGTCGGGCTCTGTGCTGATGGCTAGCTCAGAGCCTGGAGTCTACTTCGGATTCTGTGTCTCCCTCTCTCTCTGACCCTTTCCTGCTTATGCTGTCTCTGTGTCTCTGTCTCTCTCTCTCTCTCTCTCTCTCTCTCTCTCAGAAATAAATAAAACATTTTGAGAGACAGAGAGAGAGTACGAGCCGGGCAGGGGCAGAGACAGAGGGAAACAGAATCTGAAGCAGACTCCAGGCTCTGAGCTGTCAGCACAGAGCCTGATACAGGGCTCGAATCCATGAATGATGAGATCATGACCTGAGCCAAAGTCGGATGCTTAACTGACTGAGCCACCCAGCCTCCCCTTAACTGCCCTCTTGTATTGTCAGCAAATACTACTAATATAAACAGTGTAGATAATCCTAACATGGAAGAGCCTTTTACTTGTAAAATTGATGTGTTCCTTGAGCTCATATTAGGATGAGTTTCTATGAAGTTATTTTGCAGAATTCCAAACGTATTTAAAAGCAGAAAGGATGATAAAATAACCTCCAATGTACCTAACTTTGTTTCAGCAGTTATCAATTCATAGCCATTCTTGCTTTATCTGTACCCTTACCTGCTTTTTAGCTCCCCTCACCCTGAATTATTTTTGAAGTGGGTCATATCACTTCATAATTATTTCAATATGTAATTTTCAGAGATAAAAATGCTTTTTAAAAACTGTAACCAAAACACCATTATCATTACCTAAGTTATTAATGATTTCTTAATATCAAATATTCAGTTAGTCTTCAAAATTCAGAATCAGTTTGATGTGTCTTTCTAAGTACACTGATACCTTAGCTTTTTAACTTATACTCAGCGGAAAGGCAAAGGACATAAAATGTGGCATAGATATAGTCTGAACATGTGTTTCCTAGAATGGAAAAATTAGCCATTAGTAAAAGATGGCCCACTGTGGCCATTTTGCACTTAGCTGCTGTTCTGGTTGCTTTCATTACTGCATGTATATGTCATTGGACACATGTTAGTTCTTATATACGTGTAATACACATTTACTACATTCACACAGATAATGTAATTGCATATAGTATAGGTGTGTGAATGTGTGGATGTGTTTATATAAAATATTTGTCTTAATTAGAAGTTTGCCAGGAATAAGCTGTTTCTTCATGGTGGACTTTCAGTTGATATTTGAGTGTCTAAATTATATATAAGTGTAAGGTTATATGGAGGAGGTCTCCTAAGTATCATTTGAATTTTTTATTGGCTGTCTTCTCATAATTATGTCATTTTAGAAATGGAAAAAACCTGGGATATTGTCTAGTTCAACTGATGACTTTATATCTATTGTGCATGTCAAGAAGGTATCTCAGAGAGTGACA